TGTCATTAGAAACGTGTGTAATCGTTTTGCCCGTTTGAATTTGATTTTGAATGGTGTAAAGCTGAAGTCCTACGTTTAAACCAATTATTTATTTGCTATTTTGAAGTTAATTTTATATGACATTAAAAAGAATATTTTTGTTTGGGAACATTATTGAATGGTTGAAAAAAATGAAAATATTAGAAAAGGGAAAGAAGGAAATCCATACAGTTTCACATGCATTGATAAAAAATACAAAATTTAATTGAAAAAATACCTTTACAAATTATACAGTACGTATCGAAATTGCAACAATTTACAAAACAACTCGAAGAAGATGAAAATCCAGATTACTATAACAAACGATCCAGAAATATCTACTTTATTATGTGGAAAAATGTCACATCTCTACTTTCTCAAACTACCAACAGATGGACTTGTGCCGTTTAGAATTTACGTATTCTAGGTACCCATGATACACGTACACTGAAGATAGGATTTGTTTTTATATTCCAACTACCACGAAGGCCTAAGGCCTAAACACCCATTGGGTACCGTGGGGCGATGATGCGCATGTGAGCGGAGCTTCGTGACGTCACATTGAGAGTTGTCGGCTCGTGGTTACCAGCGGCAGGATTGTCGTAACGTTACTGCAGTGTCGTGGATAATACTATATAGTGCGATTTGTTGGTGGTTTTATTTGTGACTTGTTGTATCAGTTATACATACTTTATATACCCTGTGTGGTTGATAAATTGATAAATATGCGGTGTGCTGTTGTGGGAAGAAATTCCGACAACCAATCTAAACGTAATCCTTGCAAAGACATGAGAAGTTTCACAGTTTTCCTGAAGACCAAAATCTTAGCAAAAATGGCTACATCTTACAAATAGAAAAGACAGAGTCATTGTAAAAAGCGCTAGGGTTTGCTCGAAGCACTTTTGTGAAAGTGCCTATAAGGACAATTTGAAACATACCCTTTTGGGTTACACCCCTAAAAGATATCGTGCTTTAAAAGATGATGCCATTCCTACGGAAAATTTACCCAAGTCTCTATCAGCACCTGGACCTTCTACATCTGTTGCTGGGGAAAATTTGGCCGGTTTTGTTTTCCATAAATTGCAGGATGATAGGTTGAAAAATTCCTCAACTGAAACTTATTCCTGGATAGACCACCTTAGTGAGCGTGGATTATCAAAACCTTCCACAGGGGACGGAATAGTGACAGAAAAGCAAATTTGTATAGGCGAACTTCTGTTGAAGAGCATCAACATTGACTGCCCTGAAAAAGCTAAAAAAAACTATTTCTCAGGTTCAGGATGTTCTTCCGGATCAAGCAACTGAACACAAGTTTGAAAGACGAGAAAAATCGTAAAAAAATGGAGAAAAATTGTTGCTTAGACTTTATTGTTCTACCGCCAGCTTATTGCAAAAATAAGTTGCGTACACCTTCACACTTCATGTACTCAGGATACTAAAATGAAGGTAATGTAGAAAAATGGAATTATCTTGATTTCATAGTAAACTATCGATACGCTCTATTGTGGAGCTAGAAAGCCATTTAAGCTATAGCCTGTGAAATAGGAATTACAAGGTTGAAATCTTTCATTTAAATCCGCCATTTTGTTTTTTATAAAACTGTAATGTAGCTTGTGTCACTCGCACTGCTAAGACGAATCCAACGACACCTCATATGTGAAAGGCTATCAAGCCATTTGAGCTGTAGCATATGAAATAGGAATTACATGGTTGAAATCTTTTATTAAAATCCACCATTTTGGTTTTTATACCATTTTAATGTAGCCAGTATCACTAGCAGCACTAAGACGATTCCATCACTCTCAGCGTAACGTCATGCGCGCCGGCGGACGAAAATCGAACAGCGGAGCATCTGGCACTGCTAGGTACTCCTTGTAGGTTTAATCCAGTGCCGGATGCTCCGCTGTTCGATTTTCGTCAGCCGCATTATGTCACGCGGAGAGTGATTATCATTTGGGTTGATATGGATATCGTGCATATTTTCACCTACAGGCCAAACGGCTGGACGGATTTTCACATATGAGGTGTCGTTGGATTCGTCTTAGCGGTGCGAGTGACACTAGATACATTAAAATTTTATACAAAACAAAATATCGGATTTCAATAAAAGATTTCAACCTTGTATTAATAGAGCGTGTATCGTCACTTTACTGTGAAAACAAAATTTTTCTACATTACCTATATTTTAGTATGTTCTGTGGACATGCTCATGACGTTAATACTGCACTACATTTAGCATCCTTATTTCACAGAACATCCTAGGTACTAACTCCATGCAAGTGTGAAAATGTACGAAACTTGAAAAGTAGAAAAATGGATTTATCATCTTTTTGCAGTAAGCAGGCGGTATAACAATAAATGGAAATGACTTAGTCTAAACCACAATTTTTCTCCATTTCCTTTCATGATTTTTCTGGTCTTTCAAACTTTTATTCAGTTCTTTGATCAGGAAGACCATCCTTGACCTAAAAAATAAATAAAAAGCTGTTTCAGGGCAGTCAATGTTGCTGCTCTTCAACAGAAGTTCGCCTATAAAATTTTGCTTTTCTGTCACTATCCGTTCCCTGTGGAAGGGTTTGATAATCCACTCTCACTAAGATGGTCTATCCAGGAGTAAGTTTCATTTGAGGAACTTTTCAACCTCTCATCCTGCAATTTATGGCAAACAAAGCCGGCCAAATTTTTCAGCCCATCATACTCGAGCTCATCCATTTGTTCCAGTAAAACTTCATCGTTATAGTCAGCTGATACTTCAGGTGCATTCACTTTATTCATTAATGATGCGGTCAGTGGAATGTCCGGAGTATCCTCTTCCTCTACGCTGCAATACTCTGAGTATGCGCCTTCGTTTCGCCCCAAAATATGACCTTATTCTATACTTAAGCTCTAGGGGATAAGTTGAGCCTTTTTTCGTAAGCACTTTTCCGCTTTTCTCCATCAACAGATGTAAATGGTCCAGGTGATGATATAGACTTGGGTAAATTTTCCATAGTAATGGCATCATCCTTTAGAGCACGGTAACTTTTAGGGGTGTAACCCAAAAAGGTATGTTATAAATTGACCTTATAGGCACTTTCACAAAAATACTTCAGTGTATGTGTATCGTGGGTCTAAGCCGACAGTACCGACATAATTCAGTAATAATTCAGTCGCCATAGGGGAATGCTCTAGCTTTGATTGGAAAACCATTATATTTGAGATTAGCACGCCTATGTTTTTCGGAGCTGTTGAAGAAAAGTGTAGCATTTTGTGATACTACGTTTTTTTAAGCACGATTTTTGTTTGGCATGAAGGCCATGCCCACAGAGGTGCAGACGAAATTGGGACATGTGTACTCAAATTACCTAGAAAATATTAATACTAGAGCTGAATCACAGCAAGCAGAGACTGGTGTTGTATTTTACAGTGATAACTGTGGGGGCCAACAGAAAAATATATTCTTGTTGTCAGTGTATCTTTACGCAATTTCACACTTCAATTATATCAGAAGCATTAAACATAAATAACTTATAACAGGGCACAGTCAGAATGAGGGCGATGGTGCTCACTCTGTGATAGAAAGGCATATTAAAAGATATTTAAGATTTCCCATATACACCACTGCACAATATTACAGTCCAATCCGTACAGCTAAAAAAACAGGAAATCCATACAAAGTCACGGAAATGTGTCATTCAGATTTCTTTGATTTGAAAAATCTGTTATTCCAAATGGAGTACAATAATTTCATCAGAAATGCAGATAATGAAGGTTTCAAGCTTTCTGAAGTAAAGGTTATTGTGATATCCAAGAATGACTTACATACTGAATTTTATAAAGACTCGTACAGTGAAAAGGAATACAAAAAGATAATTGTAAGAGCCCCCTCAAGAAGACATCAAGACCTCAACAAACAATCGATCGTGCTAGAAAAAGCATACCAAAGCAAACCAGGAATAAGTGAAAAAAAGAACTCGTTATTATCGGTATTTAAAACCCCAAAAAAACTACTTGTACCAAGTTTAAACTTGTATGTAGGAATACAAACTTTACACAATTTCGGCTGCACTTGCACTTCTGCGATTTCCAAAAATAGTGTAAAACATATTTTCACATTAAGTTTAAGAGTTACCAATTTACGCTAATATGTTACAGAGGCAACCAAGGTTTTGTTTCGAAATTTACGTTTTTTCCTTTTTTTATTTAATATTTACGCATGTTCCACACCTTTGTCCTTTATGTTTGATGAATGATTTCTTTTTACATATTGTTTGTAGTTTCATAAGATAGCCTGAAACTTGTGATGAAAGTTGTTTTAGTTTCAATGTACGTTTCATCTTAAAAATTGAATCAAATAATCTGACAGAAAAGTTACACTTGGTAATTTTATGTTGAAAAAGGAAATTATGACCTATACCTTAAGGCAGAATTCCTTTAGAACACTGACAAAGTGCAACGAATGTTTTTATATCATCATTTCAACTGCCCCTCCTGAAAATTTAACTATTTTGGGTTATGTTGGTTTTCCTGCGAATGAACGATATTACGTAAACACTGTTTTGTGTTAGTAATAGTATCAAGTAGTCTCTATTGCAGTTATTCAGACGTGATGCTGACAGACGGGATAGCTAACCACATTTATATACAGAGAAAAATATACCGGACCTCACAGCATTAGAGAGATAAAGTTTGCTAGAGAACAGAAAAATAAACCTTTCCCGGCTAGCAGCATATTAAAGATTGTATTTGGAACTATTTGTTCAAAGTATTATACTTGCAGCAGAACAAAACACCAATCAAACCAAAATCAAGACAATCACGATAAGGGAACGGATTTCGCAATGCATGTCGCAAATGCCGTATTTATAAACCCTTAGTCATTTCGATCGAAACAACAGGTGAACGCTTCCGCGACCATATTTTTGTATTCTGAGGTTTGTTCTGTCGATTTCAGTAAAGATTCGAAACACCCTATTCTGTCTATCCTGTTTTTTCTTCTACAGTACGTCGAGTGCCACCACAATTCTCCATTCCACCTCCCGCTGAAGCCCAAGTGAAATTGGGAGATTCTCTGAACCTCACCTGCGTAGCTGTGGGCTCCCCAATGCCCTTTGTAAAATGGCGCAAGGGGGCTACTCAAGAACTGACTCCTGAAGACAAGCTGCCCATTGGAAAGAATACCTTAGAGTTGCCCGATATCAGAGAATCGGCGAATTATACGTGTGTGGCTGCAAGTGCTTTGGGGGTCATCGAGGCTACCACCCAGGTCAAAGTTCAATGTAAGTACGCACAGGATGTTCTATTATCAAGTTGATTTTTCTATATAACTCCGAAGACGAAAGCGGCGTATGTTTAATCTAAACAAAAAAATATAGACATAATTGTTTACGTTATCACTTTTCGGATTATAGTTTTAACCCTTTCATTCTATTTTAATGGAATCATCATTTTTAATGCTTCACCTCTAATTTATTACTCTTACGCTCATTTATAAAAGCACTGCAGCTAATTTATCACAAATATTTACCACCATGTCGACGCACGCTGCTGACTCATAGCAGACCATCCTCTGACTGTCCCTCTGGTAGAGGTTCCTCGTTCCTGGGTATTTATTTTGAAATTAACGAACTCCAGAGCAATTCCGCGCTTTATCCTTCTCGATGAAACCCCAAGGCCTAACGCTCTTGATGCACAGTGGCGCAATTCTGGTTGCCTAAGCACCGATATTGCGAGGGCGTCTCAACGTAAAAGGTCCTAGTTACGAGGGCGTTACAGTGTATGTAACTCTTCATCGCTCCGTGGTATGGTACGTCGTCGATCATTACCTGGAGCTTGTTATGGAACCGCTGAGGGTATGTTTAACCCTTTCATTGTACCATAACGAAAAAATTATGTTTACTGTTTAAAGTCTAATTTATTTGTTTTGCACTAATTTATAACAACACTTGCAACTAATGTATGAGAAACATTTATGACCATGTCGACTCTACTATCGCAAGCAACGCGCTGCTGACTCACCGTAGACTGTCCCTCTGGTGGAGGAACCTGGGTATTTATTTTGACATTAACAAATTCCATAGCAATTCCGCGCCTTATCGGAGTTACGGACGATGTCGTTCGATACTTCTCCAATGCTCTCGATGTCTGCCGATCCTTCCCGATGACGTCGCAAGGTCTAGCGTTCTTGATGCATGCTGACGTAACTCTGGTTGCCTAAGCGTCAATACCGCAAGGGCGTCTCATCGTTACTCAAGGTCCTAGCTACGAGGTCGTTACAGTATCTACCACTGAATTCGTTAATCACTTCCTCAATTGTAAGCAGCGGTATGTCACGCTGAACCATTTCAAAGGGAACGTAGTATGGCGTGTCGACCATCATTCCCTTGACCTTGTCCTGCAATCGCTAAGGGTTTGTTTTAGCCCCTTTAATGTATTGTAAGGAAAACACCGGTTTTACTGTTTAAAGTAAGTATCACTCTTTCCACGAATTTACAACTTAATCATATATATTTATGTCGATGCCGACTGGACTATCGCAACGCGCGCTGCTGACTCATCGTAGGCTGTCCTCTGACTGTCCCTCTGGTATTCAATTTAAAATTAAATTCCATAGCAATCCCGCGCTTGATCGAAATTCTATAGACGATGTCGATCAATATTTCTCGGACGTTTCCGAAGACGGCCAATTCTTTTCGCTGCTGCTGCAAGCCCTAACGCTCTTGATGCACGGTGGCGTAACTCTGGCTGCCTAAGCGTTAACATTGCGAGGGCGTCTCTTCGTTTCTCAAGGTCCCAGTTCTTAGACGGCAAGAAGAGGTGTATGTCACGCTGCATCGCTTAAATGGGAATGTAATATGGTGCGTCGAGGATAATTATCTGGATCTTGTTCTGGAACCGCTGGAAGATGATAATATAGCAGTTGCACGGTGTCCCGGTATTTAGGCTTCTGTCTACGCGACTGATCGCTCGGTGTGAAAAATTGATGTTTGTCTCTGGGCCCCATAACTGGATGCCATACGTCTGTAATTGGTTTCAACAGAGCATTGTAAATTACATTAAAATTGGTGTGGACAGTTTGTCAAATAACACGACAACCATCAACAAAATTAGAACGTGTAATCTTCGGTTTAACTGAGCTGAGATTTTTCACAACAAACCTCATAATGATTTTCTGATGCCTATATAAGTATAGTTCACAATGACATTCCTCCAACTCTCGCACTTCCTCATATTTTGCTTTCCTTTGTACACCAATTGGCCAATAATTTTTAAAATGAGACTGCGTTTTTTGGATGTAACAACGTAAAAACCTATCGAAATAAACAGCGCGAAGCGCCATCTATAACCAAGATCGACCATTGTGACAGTCACCTATATGATCCCTAGAGGCTGACGCGTCTGGTGGTATAGTGAACGTTGGTCTACTCACCATTGAACAACTAAACATGCTGCTTTCGTCTGCCTAAAAACAGCCCACCAAGGACAGCTATTTCATGCTTTTTGGCAACTTATCAGCATGGTCTAGGCTTGGTGTCTAGGACAACATACGAAAGGATAGCAACTATGTTCCATCCAAGGCATGGGATCTGTCGAAATGAAGACATCGCAAAACGCAATATATTACCAGAATACTATACTGCCAGCTAAATAAAAACTTGTTTTGCTTTTTTTGTTCTTTGTTAGCCTATTTGGTCCGCTTTAAATGGTAATTTATGACATCTCGATAATTATGGTCAAGGTGTTGTCTTGATGAACCGAACTTTACCAGAAATTAATACCCATTAGGCAATACCAAGAGAATTACTTGGAGAATTACAAGTCACGATACAAGGTTAAAGTTCTCCGTAGTGTACTCCAAATGGTAATGTATATTAATTAAATCCTATCAAAGTCCCCCTTTAATCACTACACCACCCCCACCCCCCGCGCCTTCTCTACCCTGATTGCATCTCCTCCCCTCCAAGTCTAAGAGCCAGTCTGGGAATATCAAGTGTATTGACTTTGAGTAAATACGTCGAATTTCAGTCAGTATGCCTCTTGCCATCCCTCTGTTCGTTTACTGATTAGGGAATAGAATACAAAGTAGGCACACCTTTATATTGGAGGTTGACAAGAGGGTATTGATGTAGTGATGGTGCATAGTTGCAGGAAAAATTGGGTCGTCGAGTTCCAATTTTCCGACATCGAAAGGCATAATGTCTTCTCGAAAATTTACTACTTGTAGTCATTGACCAACATATTCTGCCTGAAGATGGCTAACCATATACTGTATTCCGACGTCCAAAAGGTGATCTAAAAGGTACTATAGCGACATGTAAAATTCGAAATCTGAATTTAGAACAGTTTTGCGACGTATTAAATCATAATTTAAACCAATTTATATCTTCAATTTTAATCGTGATTTAACTCAAATTATAAATTGCTGTATAAACAAGTTGCCGAAGGAAATAACTGAAACAATTCATCAGCAAATTAAAAAAAAAGGAAGATAGTTTATACAAAACTAATAAGATACTAACATACATTCTGTAAGTATAAAAACATATAACTAATCTTCATCACTCCATAGCGAATATTTATAAATTAAACTTGAGAAAGCACAGTTTACAACAACAAAAACAGTTTATAGTTTATATAACCTACATGAATAAATAATGACAAATAAAAATTATTAACGAATACATAAATGTTATTATATGTACAGTGAAAAAAAGGTTATTCAGGCTAACTTACGAAAAAACAAACAGAAAATACAGCGTTAGTCCGGAAAGTAATAGGACTGAGTCGATTTAAAAAAATTTATTGAGCCAATCGTTACAATTCTTTAAAAACTTTCAAAATAGGCTCCTTCTTCGTCGATGCAGCGCTGTCAGCGCGATTTCCAAGCATTGAAGGCGTCACGGAAGGCATTATCCGGAATCGCCTTGAGAGCCGCGGTGCATGCTGCTTGGATCCCCTCTGTCGTCTCAAAATGCTTGCCTTTCATCGGCCTTTTCAGGCGAGGAAACAAAAAACAGTCCGGAGGGCCACATCTGGGCTGTAGGGCGGCTGCGGAAGCGTTGGGATGCCGGCCTTGGTCAGGTAGCTGTTCACAAGAAAGGCGGTGTGAGCCGGGGCGTTCTCGTTTTGCAACTTCCAGTCGGCTGCGATGTCTTGTCGGACCCGACTGACCCTTCGTTTGAGTTTCCTGAGCACTTCCACGTAAAACTTGGCGTTGACGGTTTGTCCAGGAGGCACAAATTCATGGTGGACGATGCCTTTGATGTCAAAAAAGACAATGAGCATCGTTTTCACTTTGGATTTGCTTATCCTTGAGTCCTATTACTTTCCGGACAAACCCTGTAAGTGTTTAGGGAGTCAGTTTTAATACTAATACAGAAATTCTATACCCTATTTCACGAGTAGGTATCCATCACGCTTTGACGTCTGCTGAGGTGAACAGCTGATCAGCAAGTGACTGTGTGTTAGTCTGCAACAATGAATCGGGTGTAAATCTAGTAAAACTTGTACCGTTTTGTTTTTTGTATGCAAATTATGAACTTCTCCAAATAAAAGAGCTTTTAGCGAGTACAAAATAGTGTACAAAAAATTAAAACGGGCTCTGCCTGCCTGGCATTGACGGATCCGTCAGAATTATGTGTCCTTGGGATATGGGGAAATTTGAAATACTTGATAATTAGCTGTCGTTTCTCTGTAATGGATACTCGTGAAAAAGATTGTAATTTAGTGGTTTTTCTTTTCCAAAGCGATTTCCAAGTTTGGAATGTACCAAACCAAATGTCGAAAACACCCTTTCGACAGATGCTGAAGAAGCTGTAGCCGATAACAGTTGTTTAATGACGGGCAGTTCTTTTTGAATAGCACCGACATTCTGTTGGGATTTCCACCAATACAAAGCTTTTGAAGTTTCGAGAATTTCTTCATCAAAGTCAGGAACAGACTGGGAAGTAGTTCTTTTGTAGTAGTTCTTTCAAAGCTCAACTCTTTTTGTAATCTGCTAATAGATGTGGTTTCGTCGAATGAACAAGATATGCTAACCGATAATACCCAACTAAAGTATAAACTTGTGCTTGTGCTCCACTAAATCAAACTTGTGTATTTTGAAATTCAAAAAATTTTATGCTTTGGCCAAATGTATAATTTGCATGTCTTTATGGATAATACTAATTTAGTCATTGGCCGTAGTGACTTTTGATATCTATGAGTTTATGTATAAATAGTCTTGGATGACTTAGAATCCACGAATTTAATTCAATTTTGGTACGTTTTTAGGACTATATTTTTTAAATTTGGTGGAATAGTATATGTATAACATGCCATAAATAGATTTTCGCAAAATGTATTTGTTTATGAGTAATATTCCTACACATTGATGGGCCACCCTATATATATATATATATATATATATATATATATATATATATATATATATATATATATATATATATTATCCGTTGGGTAGCATTTATTTTTCTGAGGAATTTTGATCTTTTTATAATAATTATTCATGACTCCACCCCATGCTAAGATTCCATGAGAAATAAGTGGGTAGATAAGTGCGTAATAAACCATGTATAGATATTTTACAATTAGGAAACTGAAGAATTATTAAATTTTTGGAATAAGGTATCTTATTTTTTTGACTATGCTTTTGACATTTCATGTATATTCCATTTTAATTATAATTGTCCTAAGTATATGATATTATCTACTGATTATATACATTTGTAGCCATCTGGATTTTTGAGTTTGAAATTTATTAAATGGTGAAGCAGATCTCTTACTTAATTTGCTTAGGTATATTGTCGCCGTAGCAAACTTCCGCGTTTTCTGAAAAATGTCCTAAAGTGGATTTAGCAGTTTTTTGGAATCAGGCGACCCAATTTATTTTTGCGTTCTGCTACTGTGTTATCGATCGCGCTATCCCTTTCAGAACACTTTTTGAAGGCGAAAGCCTAGTAAATATATGTTTTGCCATCTTCACGTAGAATAAATACATGAATATATGAAGTGCCAATAAATTATAAATATGCAATAAACCATATAACAAAAAGACTTACCTTGTAGACAATTTCCTGAAACGAATATCAGGATTCAGATGTTGAAATAATCGATTGGATATGAATTTTAGCAGTTGCCGTAATTAACAAAGTTATTGAAGACCATAACAATTTTTGTTTCTTGTTATGCAAAGAAACGGACGAAGATAAGTTGTGTAATAATTGTTGAATAATAATTGATTACATTTACGTGAAATTATCAGAACTAAGCCAAATAATATCATGACAATTAAAATGTGCACTAAAACTAACGAGAATTGTTTTTTATAAGTAGGTATGTATTTGGTTTAAATTTAAAAAAATGGGAGTATATTAAATTTAGTTTCCTACTCTGTGTTTTGGAAAGGGGTAAAAATCAAAAAAATCATGTTACCAGATTGTCGTCATAATCTCAGTAACCACACACAGCATCGATTTTTATCCTGTAATAAATGTTTTTGTTATATCATCTATCAGAATCTCAGAGTTGTTAGGAGAGCAGGAAATGAAATCACCCATGTACAACAAAAGTCTTTATTCTTGACATACAACCTATAAATCTGTAAAATAGCTAGAGTTAAATATAGTAGTCTTCTCCTCATACAATATCTAAAATAAAACCCCTAGAAGCAAATATATACAGATAGGAAAATTTTCAAAATGTAAATATGTAGAAAGTCCTCAATTATTTATTATATCAGGCATGCAAAATGAAAAACTCTTTCATACACATAAACATTATCGCACTTTCACAACAAATAGACGAATTCTATAAAACTGATGATTACGCAAAAATTACAATACAATATAATTAAAATTCAATGTAATGTTACAAGCTATTTTAGAATAATCAGTCAGTACTTTTTGAGGGGAGCAAATACATTTCCAAATAGAGATGGTAAAATTCGAGAATTCATAATAAAGGCAACAATGTATTTAGAAGTGCAAAAAGGAATTTTTGGATTCTTTTGAGATACATACCAGATCATGAAAATGCTGGTAGCAAATCATAACTGACAGTAGACTAAAAACAGTTTATAAAAACTATAGCTCTTGCTGACATAAATATGCTGTTGATCTAAAATGGTATTTTACCACAATTTTAAAATTATTAAAAGATATAGGAAAATACAGTATAAGTACAGGTTTATATATATACAAAAAGTTTGCAGTATCACTAGAGTATTCTTAAAAATTAAAGTACAGTTTATCCTTTTTTGGGCACAGCTCCTCAACTCATTTTTGGAAAGCAGTTTTTGTTCATGTTCATTTGTTAGAATCAAGAAACAAAAAAGACATTATGGGCTTATTCAATGTAACTATATACCCAAGTTACATGCATAATATTGTCAACGATTAACTATTTCAAATTCATACTTTTCTTTTTAATCTTTTTGAAAAAGCAACAACACCCAGTATCACCAGAATCATCAGTATCACAATTCTGAGTTATAGGAGTACGACTCTGACCACCTGTTGGATCATCTATGTTACCATCATTGGTGGTTGCTACACTGGTTTGCCTATCAGTTGAAGTCAGACCTCCCAATGTACTGTGTTTGGATGCCTCCCTCCAAGCATTGATTTTGCTATTCCTCGTAGCTCTTTCTTGGTCATCAGACAGAACTAGCTCATTGGTTTTTATTGACAGTGATCCACTTGCATTTCTAGTGAAAGTGATTCCAGACCAGTCAAATTGGCCATCATCCACAAACCTCATTCTCTTAAAGAGGTCAATGAATAAGTTTCTTAGGTATTCATAGTCTGGTGTTTCAAAAAAGTCTAACCTCCTGACATACCTTAAATAGGTAGCCATTTCTTCTGGGTGACCAGCACAAAGATTTTCAATAGTTGTTGATCTTTTTGTATCTCCTATTTTTTGGTACCTTTCTTTTAATGTGTCAGCAGTTAGACCTTGCCAAGGTAAAGAACCTCTTAGAAAATACATAAACATATAACCTAGGGCTTCTAGATCATCTCTACGACTTTGTTCTTTACCTAAATGTGTGTTAATAGACATATACCTTGCAGTACCTGTCAGTGATTTGTGTTCTCTATAAGGTATGTGTTTATTGGTTTCTACTTCAATATATTCTTTAGCTAAGCCAAAATCTATGATATGTATAGTGTTTTCTTTCTTGGAATTTTTTCGCCCAACAAGAAAATTTTCGGGTTTGACATCTCGATACACAAGGTGTTTTGAATGAACATATTCGATTCTATGCAACAATTGGATTGCTATCATCAACACTGTTTTTAACGAAAACTTACGTTCACACATATCAAAAAGATCTTCAAGGCAAGGTCCCAGTAGTTCCATAACAAGTGCATTATACTTGCCACAAGGACCAAAATAATAAACTTCTGGTAAACCTTCATGACAACCAAGTAGTTTATAAAATCTATTTTCTAGATGAAGTTGAGGTGCCTTTGATTTCATTGGTTCTAGTTTTATAGCTACATGTTCATTATTGTATAGGTTTTTACCAAGCCGCAATTCACCAAAGTTTCCACAACCAATTTTTTTGCCTAGTTGAAAGTTGGGGCCAACTCTAGGGCCTTGTTTGATACCATTTGAAGACCCACTAGGGCTATGTCTTGAATTTGTCGAATCATTCCTAATGTAACTCTTAGAACTTTTTTGCTTTGCATCTTTATACATATTTGAATTGATATAAGTATAGAAACTGTTAAAATTATAAATTCAAAGTTGAAAGTTACTTCAATAGTAAATTTTTGGAACTTACTACATGGCAAGACTACAGTGATTACAAACAAAAAAGTTATAGATATAAACTAAGCATTTTACATTATTTGGAAGGTGTTGCATCTGCTTTTTTATTCCGTAATCTGTAGAAAACACAACTGAATTGATTTATCCTATAATTCTATTAGGATCCGTGTACAAACTTCTAGCATAAGGCTTCCACAATAATCTCAATGTGGTGTTTTTCTTTCTGTAATTATAGTTTGATATGAATATTAAAATAGATTTAAAGAAAATATGCTTACATTTTCCGTCACGTCTGCTTCGCATGTATGGAAAATTTGCAAAAGTTTTTTTGAAACTTTTCTTCCCTCAACCTTCTGTATCAGGAACTGTAACAAAAACCAAATTGATTATCAATGAATTTGCACTTTAGTATCACTCAACTTACACTTAAAATTGTTTTGAACCAATTATATTATATTCTTGCCGATTTTTTCTCCAAAATTCAAGTTTGCATCGGTAAAAAGTTGTAATGTTCAGACCTGTTTATTTGATTCAGTACAGCTGACATCTGCAATTTGCAACACTGCAAGACAGATGCACTTTTCTGTTCGATTTACATCTTTCTGCACAATATTATAAATATCTTAGCTTCTGTTTCTGTTTTTGCTTGAGCTAGTTCTATTGATATCTCTCTCATCTGTACACCTAACTTAATTAGGAACAGATCATTACAGTGTTGCCATGGTTCTTAATGTGTATATGAGGGTATCTGATAAATTTCAGTGCATTGGTGGCGGAGTAATTAGCAAAAAGGAAAAGATAAGAATATCCTCAAACCCAGGGTAAAATTACCTTGTGCATTTATTTGTATTTCGAGTTCCAGCCTCAACCTTCATTTTAGGTACGTACCGTTTCAGGTAGGAAAAGCATTGACGAACACATTTCACCAGAAGGTACCCAACCCTATTGAAAGCCTTTAAGCCTTGTGTGAAAATAAGCATCTGATAGTCTGACTGTTGAACGTGGAGCTACCACCCGGCGGATCTCTAAGACGGGTTCAGAATGTGTGCATGTTACACGCATACGTATTCCCTCACTAGAGTACGTGTGGCGTCCCACCTTCTCCCCTGTATCCCCCTACAGCCCCACGGTACTCATTGATGATTAGACCTTGGACCTTCGTGGTGGTTCATGTTAAAAACGAGCATAGATACATTGGTAAGGCCAGTCACTTATGCCGACAATTGTATATACGTGTCGACCATTCACGACTGGATTTAGATACCAGTAACGTATTCTAAATCCTATTTCACGAGTATCCATCAAGTTTTGACATCTACTGATGTGAACTTCTGACCAGCAAGTGACATCTTTGTATTAGTCTGTAACGTTGGCAGTTGCGAATCTAAATCTATTAAAACGTGCTTGTTGAGTTTTTTGTACGCAAATAAACTTTTTCAAATAAAGAGTTGTTAGCAAGTACAAAATGAATCTGTAGTGACGAAAAACAAAATAGAATACGGCACCGTCTATCTGGCGTTGACGGATACGACAGAATTATGTCATTTGTTGATATGGAGAAAGTATTACTAGATAATCGGCTTTTATTCCACCCTAATGGATACTATACTTGAAGATCAACCGCACAAAATATTCTTGATCGATTTCTGAATTCATTTGCTTAGCAACTGTCTCATAAATGGCGCTAATATCTTTTGGATTCCTGTGTGTGGTTGGCTATCTTCAGTTAGAACAAGCTAATCAATGCTAAAACGATCGTCAGAGATACCGAGTTAATCTACTTGCTCCCCCCGCCACTGTTCTGCCTCAACTAGTCGCAAAGCCAACATTTCTCTACGTACAAACGAACAGACGTTTCTAGATTGTCACTTGTCAATTTGTTTGTTGACATCTTTGCTTCTTTCAGTCAGTAGATTTTTTAACTAGCTACAAGTGCGTAGTGTTTTCATCGGCAGATGTTTTTATTTCACAAAAATCACACCGAAAATAACTGAGACACTCAAAATTTGGATGGTTTCTCGGAAACGCTAATCTCTAAATACCACAATGTATAAATGACATGCAGCATTTTAGTACTGGTTGCAGTACACAGACTATTTTTGTGCCTCGGAGTTTGGAGTGGCTAGCTTGATTTTTTTTAAATGTGCAAGGAGCGCAACTGCATCTATGAATTATGTATATCACAGTGATTTTATTCTATTTTACTTTGGTGCACGGAATATGTACGTATTACTTTTTTAATTTACTTATTTCATACTGAATGAATGAATTTAAAATTCTAGGAATAGAGGCATAATATCAATGAATCTATTAATAACTAGCTAAGCGCTAGAGTAAGGTCACTGTCTTATTGTTACAATGCGGCTTTTATATCCGTAGTAAACATACAAGTTGGATTTTCTTTTACACATTTTTTTATTGACACCTGTTACTATTTTTCTATGCTAGCAAGTACAGTCCTTACTTTAAACTTACTGATTATTCATAATGCTCAATACTAAATAGTAAATGTCCGCTTATGTGCTTAGAAAATTGTCTCTTAATCCTGATTTTAGTGCCAGTAAAATATGAGTGGTACCTTGATTTTCACTTCTGCTCCTCTACCAAAACCTAGTATTCCAAAAGCCTGGAATGTTGTTCTTTAAAATGGATCAAAATCAATGCAATGGTTACTGATATTATTTATGCAGTGCTTCACATACAACATGATAACACTTTATAATGAAGTACTTCAGGTATTGAAATTACTAAATTACAATGAATTTAAAAAACAAATTAAACAGTTTATTTTAAAAAAGTACTCTCCAGCATAGTTTGACCCCTCACTTGGCAAACTCTTTCCTTTTCAGAGTACATTCATATCTATGATTAATTTTCATTATCTACTTATTTATATTACTTTTACATGTTTATAAGTGTTATATTTAAGCTAAACTTCACCCACAATGAAATACATTTATTATTATTATTGTTATTATTATTATAAGTTTTTTAATATCTTTTTATTCTTTCAGTCCATGCCCATTATTTCACCATATGGTATTGTTATTGATTTAGACTTCACCATATCTTATTGCCTAAAATTCATCAAAATCAATGAATAGTTACTGATATTTAGCAGTGACAAGAACAGCAACAGATAGTAGACTAAGCTGAGAGTATGATTTTTCAAAATCATTCATTATTGATGAACATCAAATTAAATTTTCTTTTAATTTATTAGGCTTTTGCTACTATACCCCTCTGTCGATTGCCCATTTTTCTAAAGTACAGAATATTATTATCTGAAATGAACAAAATCATTGCAGTGGTTTCTAAGGCTATGCAATGTCAATAATGCTCACACAACAGGTAATAGACAAAAAACTGAACTGAAAGCATATCTTCACAATCTTCTCAAAATTTATTGCTGATGATGTTAAAAAATTCTTGTACATTTTCTTACTATTTCTCACTTTATGCTGTGGTTCCACAGACTATTGCTCCCTAAAATTCATCAAATTAATACAACAGTCGCTGGGAATAAGTCGTGACAATAATGCCAGATAGAAGACTAGTCAAATAATCATCTGATAATGGTTGTATTCATATTGAGCATCCCATTTATTTGTTAATTTTTTAAAATTTCTATAAATATATTTTTTAAACTGAAAAAATATACTTACTCACTTGATGATATTAGCCCCTCCAAAATTTCTTAAAATAGAGAATACTACACTAAGAATCACTGTAATAGCACCTTTTAACTCTTTTCTTTCATTTTTAGCCTTGCCTGGACCTCCAACAAATGTCAAAGTCTCCGAAATAACAGCAACAACAGTGAGACTAACCTGGTCATATAATGGACCCGATGATCTGCAGTACTATGTCATCCAGTTCAAGCCCAAGTATGCCAACCAGGCATACAGTGAGATCAGTGGCATTATTACCATGTACTATTCTGTCAGGAACCTGAGTCCATACACTGAGTATGAGATGTATGTTATCGCTGTCAATAATATTGGTAGGGGGCCACCAAGTGCACCAGTGTTTGTCACCACAGGTGAAACAGGTAAGACTTGTAAAAAAGATACATATATTTTTTAAAGCTATATATGAAATATTTAGAAATATTCCATATAGTTTTTAGGTTTGTCTTTACATTATTCTGACCTGTCTTTTAGGATGTCAGCAAGTTGTATCTGTACATGATAAATTATTTGAACCATGTTTCTTCTCGCCCGGTGCGCTACAGGATTTCGTTCTTTGCCCCATACTTTTTTTAAGTTTATATGTCAGATATCAATTTTTCTGTTTTTTTAGTTATCGATTGTAGCTTATGCTGATGATACTCGATTAATTAAGTCCTTCCCACCATCTAATGTTTCACAAGTAACTCAGGATATTAATAATGATGAACTCCATAAAATACTAATTTACTCTTATAACAATATTTTGAAACTAAATTCTTCCAAATATTCTGTTATGATTTTTTGTTCCAGTAATAGCCATAAAAACCCAACGTACAAACTGAATATCATTATTGGTGGATCTTGATGGCCATTAGTGGATACAGAAAAAAAATTGGGTTGACTTTTGACAGTTCCCTATGCTTCAAATAACATGTTTCAATTACTCTGAAAAAATGCTACTACTTTTGATGCGGTTTTATAGTAGCAGACACATTATGGATTTTAAAACAGAAAAAACTATGTGAATCTCTTATATTTCTTTTTTCAATGCTGTTTACTACTCACACCTAGGTGCTGCTACTAAAAATAGGGTACAAAAGTTTCAAAATAGTTCTTATAAATGTACTGACAACCTAAAAAAGTATGATTCAACTTCAGCAAAAATATTTGAGCTAATCTGGTTACACATAGAATACATGTATAGATAATCTACAGCTACCATGATACACCAAATAGTAACTTCACGATCTCCTGCTCCTGCCTACCTATACAGGAAATTGTGTTCTCGTCGACGAAACAATATCAATTTCAGGTTTAAATAACGACTCCAAATTCGGTTATATAATACTAGACTGTTTTGTTGGTCATTTATATATAACCCCATTAAAATATATAATGATGTAGATGATAACTTCAAATCGTTTTTTATAACTAATTTTAAGAAGCATGTAAAAAAGTTGCTTCTTGGGTAGCTATCGGAAAATGTTAGGATAGTTGGTTTATATATTTATGATTTTTTTTTAGTGTGTATTTTCTAATTATCCTTTGTTTCACCCTTGCTCAAGAGTTTAAGAAGGTTGAGTGGAGATATTTCTTTTTTCTTGACTCACCTTTGGAGAGCATTATACAAGGTGTCCAGAAAAAAATGTTCAATATTCTACCAGCGGTTTCTAGAGCTAAAATAGGAAGAAAACTTTATATAAACATAGGTCGACAAACGTCCCCCTGTCTTTTAAAAGGGCTCCCCTGAAGATGGTTTTTTCTTAATATTTCCGAAACGTGTTGAGATAAGGACATAAAATTTGGTATTCTAGCCTAGTTTTTTATGCTGGATTTAAAAATATTAACAATTTTAGACAGTTTTGTTTGGAAGCGTATGTACCAGGGACGGACTCGGGTTATTTTAGCCTCAAAATTTTTGTGTGATTCTATTTTAAAAAATTTAGGCTTTTCTACATAAAAAGGGTACTCTTATTGAATATTGATGAATTGTGCCATTTTTGAATAAAATCAAACTAAAGAATTTGTCACATGATAGGGAATTTACTGCGAATATAAATGAATTGTTGAATAATTAGCCATGGCGATGAAAAAACTAATTTAATAATTGGTAAATATTACATAAATACATATTTCTATTGCAACACAGCTAACATTTAGGCAAAACAAAAGAAATAAATTTTTTCTACGAACGAAATTGAAATTTGTATAAAAAAGAAGACATACAGTTGGATATACTTAAAACTATCTTTACAATAAGTGGTCAAATAAATTCCCATTTTGTCTCGCTCGACGAACTAATGATTGCGTAGCCCGAAGAGTGGAAAACCTTTTCTTCTTATTTCATTTGCAGCCTGATGGATTCTTTGAAGTAAATATTCTTGAGTATTTACTTCAGTCGAGTAAACTAGGTCTTTTAATGACCCTCAAAAATAGAAATCCAATGAATTTAGGTCAGGTGAACGTGGCGGCCACGCTACAGGACCTCCTCGGCCTAACCACCTGTCTGGAAAATTGACATTCAACCAATTTCGAACATTGCATCCAAAATGTGCAAGGGCGCCATGATGTTGAAAAAACATATTTTCTTGAAACTGCTAGCGCACATCCAATGGTATTATATCCATGAGCTCATTCTGAAGAAAGTTCAGATACACCTCTGAATTAAGACGATTGGGAAGTACAATAGGCCCAATTACTTGATCCCCAGTTACTCCTGCCCATAAGTTCAATGAAAATCTATGTTGGAAATTTGTATGAACAACTTTTGGATTTTCATCTGACCAGTCAAGCATGTTATGGAAATTAAGAGCACCATTCCTAGTAAATATTGACTCATCCGACCATAATTTTCTAGGAATAGTGTTTTCATTTGCTTTTATCCACTGGCAAAACTCGATTCGTGGTAAAAAATCTGCCTCCGTTACATGCTGCACCCGTTTAAAATGATAAGGATGTAATCCTTGCATTCTTGTCATTCTTCCTATCTAAAATTATTGTTTTTAGGATAACTATCAAATAGGTGTTCATAAATTTTTCTTACTATTGATCGAGGTATATCCATAATTTCTGAAACATTTCGTATGCGTATTTGCGGATTATTTTCAAACATATTTAAAGCAATATCCGTACGATGATTTCCCAGTGGCCTCTCTGAGCCCTGCATGCGCTGAAAACTTCCATGGTTTGACAAATTCCAGTGAATATCAGTAAACATTCGACTTCCAGGTACTACGCGATTGGGAAATCTTCTTTGATATTCTCTTACGGCTGCCAATGAACTGCCATTGCAAAACCCGTACACAAAATGCATGTCAGTAAGTTCTCTGTAAATCTTTTATTATTTTAAATCAATTTAATAAAAATTTTGATTCTAATCTAGTAATTTTACACTGCTAACAATGTCAGCTTAACGTCAAAATAAGTCATAACAAATCAAAACAACTTTTGTTTGCAGTCATGGCTAACTATGTATAATCAACAATTCATTTAAATTCGCAGTACATTTCCTATCATGTGACAAATTTTTTAGTTTGATTTTATTCAAAAATGGCACAATTTATCGATATTCAATAAGAGTACCTTTTTTATGTAGAAAACCCTAAATTTTCAAATTCTAAAATTGAATTTCAAAAATAGAATCACACAAAAATTTTGGGGCTAAAATAACCTGAGTCCGTCCCTGTTACATACGCTTCCAAACAAAACTGTCTAAAATTGTTAATATTTTTAAATCCAGCATAAAAAACTAGGCTAGAATACCAAATTTTATGTCCTTATCTCAACACGTTTCGGAAATATTAAGGAAAAACCATCTTCAGGGGAGCCCCTTTAAAAGACCGTAGCGCCCTTAGGGGACGTTTGTCGACATATGTATGTTTACATAAACTTTTCTTCCTATTTTAAGCTCTAGAAACCGCTGGTAGAATATTGCACACTTTTTTTCGGGACACCCTATATATTATAATGTATTCTTCAATAAAGACCTATTATTATTATATCTGGAAAATTGAAAATGGGATACAAAGATGCCATAATGTGTAAATACATAACATTTATTTTTACTATATAGCTTAACAGAAAACTAAAAATCTTAAATGTTCATGAGAGAGTTTTGAGAGACATGTATCTGAAAATTCACTACATGGTCATAATTATTATGTTTCTTTAAGGTGTACTTTTCCAATTGTCCTGTATTTTCATTTTCAAGAAAGATACTTTTGCTTAATTTATATTTTATCTCACAGATTTATTTCTCATTAAGCAAGAAAATCAGAGAAGGGACTCTTGAATCTTGATTGCTATTAATCGGTTTTGTATCATTTTATATTGTATGTTTTGTTGAATATTTGTTTCTACTACAGTTAGGTACTATACTCTATTTTTTTTATTTTATTTATTTGTTTTTTCGATATCGTAAATGCTCATCATAATGTAAAGAAATATCTAACCTTCTATTTTGAGTTAGACATTTCGCGCCATACATTTTTTCTTTATTTTCTTTTTCAGAATTTTGGATTGGCTGGTTATGTCATAGTGAAATCTGAGAAAATATATTTTCAATTTGCAGAGTGAAAATAGTGTAAAGAATCTTGTTTACTCATTAGTGCATTGAATTAGCATAAGTATGTTTTCAGAAGAAATTACATAAACTTTTACTTTTGCAGCAGGAAAACCGCGTATGTTTCAGTATTGCATAATTCAAAAAATATTAGAAGAAAGTTGATAAAAATTAAACAAGTCTCGTAAAGAAAATCACCTAACACTTATTTTCCTCTATTTAAGAGGCAAGATACATTTCTTTACAAATATCTTGTGACCCATCACAAAATAAATATTTAATGTATATCTCTCCATGCGATAAGAAATGACTATTAAAGCGTTCAAAACAGGTCCTAAATGTTTGAGGCTACCATTGACAAGTTTGGAAAAATCATACACATATTATTATCTACAGATAGATATCTATTTGTGAAACGATAAAAAAAGATGATACAGTACTTCTCGATATGTGCTGGAATGTTTGGACATAGAATCCCACATTTAGAGCCCTAACAAGTGCTTTCTCACTATCAAAATATTAAAGCTGAAGGTGGTACGATTCAGTCCCAAATCCTCACAATTTCCAATCTTGAGTCATGCACATTACCTTTACAAATTCTGGAATGACTAAATTAGTAGTTTAACTAAAAATTGGTAGATTCGCCCAGAACGTGATTAGAATTTTGGGCCGTTTTGGGGCCCAGGCCCCTGGTCCGCCCCTTACATACGCCACCTTTTTCTAAAAATATATACAGTAGCAGTTGAAAATATTGATAAACCTTGAAATTTTATCACAGGAACAGCACATTATGTTTGAGGTTTCAATAAAACATATACATGTAAG